GTGATGTTCAAAGTGATCTCAAATTGGTGCCAAAAATCGAACGCTGTGCTTTCTCTCAATAATAATTCTAATATAATAGATATATAATATCCGATGGAAAGGGAAGATCGTTTTCCTCGATCGAAAAGTCTGCATCCGTCGGTTCTTCTTCGAATGTTCGAATTCTCTCGAATCTCGTCCTAATCACAGGAGTTCCGAGTTACACGCTTACAGGCAAATTGAGGGTGGCCACGTCGCTGGTTCCGAACACAACCTTCTGATATTTCTGATACAACATGTTCTTCAATTGTTCCGCGTGTTCCCGATTCCTGGTCTCGCAGACCACTTTCACGTCCACGCTGAAGATGTCCGACATGATCCAGGCCCGCTCGTGCATGATGTCCTTTATCGAGACACCGATGCTCGCCAGCATTCTGCAAAGCTCCGCGATTCCCCCCGGTCGATCGGATACCGTCACCGTGAACTTCAAAAGCCGCCCTTCCGCCGCCAGTCCGCGGTCCAAACACCTGCCGAGGATCGTCGTGTCGATGTTTCCACCCGACAAAGGCAGCACCACTCTACGAACGAAAATCAAACGGGCACCATTGTTACCATCTCTTGTGACAGTGTTCCACCTCGCAATACCTGATATCAAAGTAAAATAAATAATAATAATAATCAATTTACGCGAAAAATTGGGGGCCAAAGCAACAGTTGAGCGTGTTAGTGGGATACAAGCCTGACTTGGTTATATCTCGTTCCAGTATTGATAGCATTACGTTGTTAACATTAAAAAGTGGAATATAAAATACAAGAGGGGATTCAGGATTCAAGATTTAATTAAGAAAAACGAACGATGATGGACCTTTTCCCTTTCAGCTCTTCCAGCTGGCCAGCCAAGATGGCGGCCAGTCCAGTGGCACCGGCGCCCTCCACGATACACTTCTCGTTCTCGACCAGTTTCAAGATCGCAATGGCGATCCACTCCTCCTTCACCACGACCAATTTGTCGATCAACGGATTCGCGGTCGCGAAAGCGTTGTATCCCACCACGGGGACGGCCAGGCCGTCGGCCAACGTCGAATCTATACGAGTGTACGTCGGTCGATCCGCCTTCCTCGCCTTGTAGAAACTGGGACACTTCTCCGACTCGACGCCCTGCGGGAAAATTGGCCGGGAAAAAAAGCGAGCCATCATCCATCGAGTGAAGGAGGAAGAGAAGGAGGGGAAAAAAATAGGAGAAACACCATCACTCACGATAATCGTTACATTCGGATGAAGGTTTTTCACCGCCAGAGCTACGCCCGCGATCAAACCGCCGCCTCCGATCGGAATCACCACAGCGTCTATGTTGGAAACTTGCTCCACGATCTCGAGGCCGAGCGTTCCTTGTCCCGCTATAACGTCCGGATAATCGTATCTATCGAAGTGTGAATAGAGCGTGAGAATTGAGAGGTAACGGAGAGAGAAGGAATACTTGATGTAAATTTTCTCTTTTCAAAATTCGATAGTTGAAATTATTACGATTAATTTATCGTTGAAAACGTCGAAAACTCGGAAATAATTGTGATGGCAAACGGTCGAATTAACACGTGACA